CATCCTCGGAAGCAGCTTTGACGTGACGGGCAATACTCTCTCCAAACATGACAACTGCCGGCTTGAGAATACCAGCAGTACTTGGTGCCACCCAAGCTCCATCTGGATCGACTCGGACAAGTTGTTTTTGGCCGTTAGCATCTTCTGGTGGATCAGCCAAACATTTCGGACATGGTGGATATCTAAAGGTTGTATATGGTGCTTCTGGGAGGTCGACGTCGCCGTCGGGGTTGGCTTTCAAGCCCTTAAATCTCCGCTCCTCTGTACTTTCTGTATCCAAAGAACCAGAGGCAATGGCCTCTTCTAGAAGAACAGCCCATTTCGGATTCAGACGAGCCAGCTGTCCCTGGAACTCATCTCGAGAGAACTCAGTCTTGCAGCTCGTGCAGACGGTAGATCTCAGGTAGCCGTGTAGCTCTAGGGAAGGTATTTGCGGATGGGCTTTAGGATGGAATGAATCAACATTCTGTGTAATAACGCTCTGAATCAACCCCAAGTTTCCCAGATCTCTGATTGCATAATGACCCGCGTTTGGCGTCGCCTTGTGCAGCGTTGACCAGCCAAGAAAGCTGCGTGCCCAGTATCTCTTGCGTGCCTCGTGACTGCTAACGAATTCGTAATAATAAATAGGGCGATAGGTCTTGTTCACTCGATAGGTGCCTTTGACACCGCGGTAGTCTGCAAGACCAGAAGCAACTGATAGGCCAGCTCCCGTGAGAACAACCGTAGAGTCTGGGAGGCTGTTGGGAGGCGGCGCCTGGAAGAAGTTGACCAGGGCAGCAAGACCACCTTGAATGGTTGTAGCAGAGGCCGGCAGGATGGTAGGCGATGCTAGAATGTCCGTGTAGGGAATACGCATAAGAGGTTTCGGCATTAGAAATGTCAGGGATGCCAGTGGCTGCTACAGCCACGGCATGTGATGTGATGGATATCCGTCTTGACGTGCTGGCCTGTATCGAGGTGGTTTAAGGCTGCAGCAGGTACGGAGTGCCGTCAACTGTTTGCGGCATCAATTGGTTCCGCCGAAGACAACCGGAAAGCGGAATTGATCCTTGACCCAAATCTTGACCCAAGGCTGAATATTAGTAAGTACAGTGTAGACGCAGCTCGGAATAGGGCAGCGCCGAGATGTCGGGGCATGAGATGGCGAGATCAGGCCACCAGATGGAACCCTGACGAGTGTTGGGCCATGGGAGTTTTCAGACAACTGCTTGAGCGTGGTTGGCAGACGAAGATAGAGTGCCCCCACAGAAGTCGGGGCTGTGAGTTAAAAGGCGGGAAGGAGCACTGAGTGCTTTGGCCCAGGGTTCGGTGGTTTGGTTCTGGAAGCAGTTGAGCTCGAGATCAATTGAAGTCTGGTGATTTGTACCTGGTACGTCCAGGCTGAGAGATCACTGGTTCAGGAGCTCGGAGCTCGGACAATGCTTATGCAATTCTTGGAGAGGTTGGCACCCCCGCATGCCCGCCACGGCTTGCATGTCAGGAACCATTACGTCATCATCGATTGCAGACTAAAACAAAAAAAGAAAGCATAGAACATGGGCCATGGGCCGCATTGACCTGATTTCAAGTATTGCATATATACATGTATTTATATCGCCTATAAAAGGTTACTTGTATGGGAAGCATTAATAAATTCCTTACGCAAGCTCTGCAAGGCCTCTCAACCGCGGTAAGTGGCGGCGAGTTGCACCCACGCGTTCGGTCAACAGCCTGGCGGAGACCGAGACTGGTCCGCTATACAGAGCCCGGATCGCTGAAGGGTCCCCGCAAAAAGGGGCACTAATCCCCAGCACCCCACTGTACTATCCGCCAGCTGGCCACTGTAAGGGCAGGAACAGTGATCTGAATCAGTACACATGTGCAGCTCGGCTGAGGCCTGGTACTTGCAACTAGGATATTCGGCAGTCCGTGAGAAGTACAAAGAAGAATTCAATCAATCAAAAATCAAAGGCCCAAGGCCCAAGTTGCTCGTTCCAAATGACCGACTCGGAGCTTCTCTCAAGTGCCAGGTACAGAGTACTTTGTAGCTTCACCAGGCATCACTTGAACGGATGGCCCCATCGAATTCGTCTTTTCCCGACCCGATCCGCCGTTCTCGCTCGTCACCACCTCACTCCAACCAACTCTTCTTCCCTTTGTAACAAACATGCTACGTTTCCCTTCCCATGCCAATCGACGGTTCGATGCCATAGGAAAAATCACGACAGACACTCGACGGCTTGGCCTCCAGCTCATTTGCTCACCTGCAGACAAAGGTCGACGACGCGCGCGGAACGGTCAGGCCACGCCAGAAAAACGAGTGCCTGCGACCACCGAAGTCACTGTTGCACCGAGTTGTCGACCGGTCCATGTCTCCCCAGGCCGGGCGCTCCACCGGCCTGGCCGTGTGCACGCATGCACAAGCACGAGCACGAGCACAAGCACAAGCACAAGTGCGCTCAAGATGGTCATCGAGGCCAGCGAGGTCACCGCGCTATGTGCATAATAATAATACCGGAGCGCCGGCCTCCACGACTCCGCTCGCGTCTGAAGCGACGCCAAAGGGTGTAGCCACTAGGATCACCGGCATTACTAGCGCTGGCACCCGCAAAAGAAACTTCCACCCCAATGGCCCTCTCCGTCGTCGCTTTCTTACTTGCGGTTACGCAGCAGCCCACAGCCAGGGCAACGGCCTCCTGAGATCACAAAGGACACATCGACAACCAGCCCATTCGCAGATGACGCAGCCTCACACACGATTGTTGCACTCTCGTACATCGTTACGGGCACAGGATCGCTGCATCGTTCGAAATTTATCACCACTGGGCTCGGCTGCTGCTACCTCGATCCCTACGTTGACATCGCGCTTTTCTACATCCTCCGGCCTGTCCACCGCGGCCGTTTACACCACCTCAAACTCTCTCCACCGCCTTGCGTGCTCGTCCTCGACGGTCGATCCAACATCTGCCATCGCAGGCGCCCGTTGCGTCCTCCTTCACCTCTCGCCTATTCGCGGACAAATCCGCACGCTGCCCTCAGTTATGGGTTCGGCATTGAAGCAGACTCGCGACCATGGCGACCATGGTCACGGCCATGGCCATGGTGCTCATGGACATCATCACCACCACGATAGCACATACCTGACATCCGCCAATAAAAACGACCCTGGTGTAAGAATCACGCGAATAGGTCTACTGTCCAACTTGGGCATGGCAATTGCCAAGTTCATCGGTGGATGGGCGTTCAATTCCAAGTCAATGACGGCAGATGCCTGGCACAGCATTGCTGACCTCGCCTCTGATATTCTCACCTTGGCCACTGTTTCTTGGAGCTTAAAACCGCCGAGTGATCGATTCCCCATGGGATTCGGCAAGGTGGAAAGCCTCGGTTCTCTTGGCGTGTCGGGCATGCTGCTGGTGGGCGGTTTCTACATGGGGTGGGAGAGCGCAATCAGTCTGTACGGCCATTTCAATCCTGAAGGCGCGCACAACCTTTTTGAGCACGTTGGCCACGCCCACGGCCACTCTCACAACCCTGCTGATCTAGGAATCCCAAACATTCATGCTGTTTGGCTGGCCGCGGGCACCATCCTGATCAAAGAATGGCTCTATCAAGCGAGTATGTCACCCTCCCTTTCCGTGTAGCATTGAACGCGCAAGCAGCTAACGTAACGTGCAGCAATGAAAGTTGCGCGGGAACGCAAGTCATCTGTCCTTGCCTCCAACGCCATCCACCATCGTGTCGACAGTCTGACCGGCATTGTCACTCTTGCCGCTATTCTTGGTGCCAATGTTGTTGAGAACGCCGCCTGGCTGGATCCGGTGGGCGGTCTCCTCATTTCCATCATGGTGGTCAAGGCCGGATACGACAACACAAAGGAGGCCTTGTACGAGCTGGCAGACCGCAGCCTCGATGACGACGTGAGGAACTCTATCCGAAAACAAGCACATCGGGCATTGTCCAACGTGAGTGAGGGCCATGAAGCAGAGCTCCGTGAAATTAGTGGCACCAAATCGGGACAGAATTACCTGGTTGACATGGAATTGGCCGTGCCTGGTGCATGGACGGTGGACGATGTCAAGGACCTGGAGGATGCGGTGCGCATGCAGGTCGGCGGCAAAGTGCGTGGTGTGAAGCGGCTTCGTGTGCGGTTTGTCTCCCGGGATAAGCCTGTAAACGAGAGGTTTGATGAATTCATTTCAGGGCCAGAAGCATTGCAGAAGCCGGAGCTGTTGGAGGAAGAGGAGGCTGGGAATGGCGCTGTCGTTGATAAAGATGGCAAGCATAGACATTAGACTATACCACCTATGTACTCGACGATGAAAATGCCGTACAGAGAGCGAGATGCTGGTAGAGGATAACCTGAACTGATGTATACGATTTCTTCCAATTGTTGGACATGTATCAGCGTCGACTGTAGATAATTTACTGAATGGTGTTCCTGACTAGCAACAGAAAACGTTGGGAATTTGCTTATGATTCGGTATATATGAATGCAATACCTGTCCCATTATTGTAATAACACAGTCAAATGCAATACCCATCTGCTTTCTTGTCATATCTAGCTACCCTTCTCTCGGTCGGCTCTGACCCGTACCAATCAATTTGGCCTAAACACCCCAGCTCAACTACCAGCTGTATTGATTGCTACGAGACCTCGGAAAGTATATAGTGAGATATATGTCAGACGGCGGAAATGCTCAGAAGGCCGGGGCACGGCAACCATGAGCTGAAAAATAACGGTCCTCGTTTCCCTCAATTCCAGTCCAGGTATTCCAAGACGGTGGCTGATGAGGAAGCTCCAAATACAGAGTACACATCTGGCTTCTGGCCGAGGTCGTGGACCCGCAAAATCTCCAGACGTCAGGATTAGAGCTGTCTTGCGTCAATCCTGTGATGTAATTATCTCAAATACCAGAACACTCACGCTTCGAACTACTCACACAGCTGTACCACCCTCACTCGATTGTTCTTTTCACACTAACTCTTCTTCTTATTCTGGTCAAAATTTGTGCATCATGAGTCACCAAGGGCCTCTATACCTGGGGTTCGACCTGTCCACCCAACAACTTAAGGGTAAGCTGATGGTCACCTCAGGCCATTCTCATAATCAATCGTCACACAACTAAAGTCTACTCTTCCAGCAATCGTCGTAGACTCGGATCTCAAAACAATCGCTCAGTCCAAGGTCGATTTCGACGCCGACTTTTCCAAATATGGCATCCAGAAGGGCGTTCATGTGCGTCCTTCCACGGGCGAAGTGTACGCTCCCGTCGCCATGTGGATGGAGTCGCTGGACCTCGTGCTCCATCGTCTATCAAAGGAGATGCCTGTGCCCATGTCGCGGATCCGAGGCGTGAGCGGCTCGGGGCAACAGCACGGCAGTGTGTATTGGAACTACCAGGCTCATGACGCCTTGAAGGGTTTGGACGCGAGCAAGGAGCTGGTGGACCAGCTCTCGGGGGCGTTGGCCCATGAGTGGTCCCCGAATTGGCAGGATCAGAGTACGCAAAGCGAGTGTGATGCCTTTGACGTCGAGTTGGGGGATAGGGAGAAGTTGGCCGGGGTTACGGGCAGCGGTGCCCATCATGTAAGTTCTCCCGACTTGCGCGTCTGTTCCCAAATTGCAAAAAGCAGCCTGACGATATCCAGAGATTCACAGGCACCCAAATCATGAGGATGCGGCGCGTGCGCCCAGAAGTCTACGCCCAAACGTCACGCATATCCCTCGTGTCATCGTGGCTCGCCTCCATCCTGCTGGGGTCCATTGCGCCCCTCGATATCAGCGACGTGTGCGGCATGAATCTATGGGACATTCCCAACCAGCAGTACAGCTCGGAGCTGCTCGCCCTCGCGGCGGGCAAAGACGGCGCTGACGACCTGCGCAAGAAGCTAGGCGAGCCGCAAATGGACGGCGGAACCCCCTTTGGCAACATCTCACCGTACTTTGTGGAAAGGTACGCTTTCCATCCAGAATGCCAGATTGTGCCCTTCACGGGCGACAATCCCGCCACCATATTGGCGCTGCCGTTGCGCCCCCTCGACGCCATTGTCTCGCTGGGGACCTCGACGACCTTCTTGATGAACACGCCCAAGTACAAGCCCGACGGCGCGTACCACTTCTTCAACCACCCGACTACCAAGGGCCACTACATGTTCATGCTGTGCTACAAAAACGGTGGACTGGCGCGTGAAAAGGTCCGCGACGCACTGCCCAAGCCCGCAGACGGCCAGACCGGCTGGGAGGCCTTTAACAAGGCCGTGCTGGATACGCCGCCGCTGGCCATGGCCAAGGAAGGAGACCAAGCCAAACTTGGGCTGTACTTTTATCTGCGAGAGACGGTGCCGAATATCCGCGCGGGAACGTGGCGGTTTACGTGTGATTCTGACGGCGGTAATTTACAAGAGAGCCGGGAAGAGTGGTCCAAAGAGGTCGATGCCCGTGTCATTGTGGAATCGCAGGCTCTGTCCATGCGGCTACGATCTCAGAAACTGGTCCACAGCCCGCGAGACGGACTCCCTGCGCAGCCGCGCCGGATCTACCTCGTTGGCGGAGGATCGCTCAACCCTGCCATTGCCAGCGTCATAGGCGACGTGCTCGGGGGCGCAGACGGCGTGTACAAGCTCGACGTGGGCGGCAGTGCGTGTGCGCTGGGGGGAGCATACAAGGCGCTTTGGGCCATGGAGCGCAAACACGGCGAGACATTCGACCAAGTCATCGGGAAGCGGTGGAAGGAGGAAGGCTCCATTGAAAAGGTCGATGCAGGATTCAAAGACGGCACATATCAGACGTACGGCAGCGTGTTGGGGTCGTTTGAGGAAATGGAGAAGAGGCTCCTCGCGGAGGAGCAGAAGCAGTAACCATGTTACAGGGGGGGGATATCTATAGCACACTGTCTATCGGACGTATTTACTCATGAAGCGCCTGTGGAAATCAGACCGCAGCATATCCTGCACGGAATATTAGTAACCGGTATTGCTGAGGGTGTAGGAATCGAAGAAGACACTCACGTTGACGAATTCCTTCTTCTTATTCCTGTCCTCCGTCCCGCGCGCCTGGTTCTTAAACACAACATCATCGTCCCACCGCCTCTTCATCGTGTAGTCCTGCTTATTGAGAAGCGGGTTCCCCAGTGCAATGTTTCTTTCGCGCGCTTCCTCTTCCTCTTTTGCTCTTTCTGCTTCCTGTTCCGCAAATTAGCAGATTGCCCAAACATAAAAAAAAAAAAAAAAAAAAAAAAAAAAAAAAAAAAAAAAAAAAAAAAAAAAAAAAAAAAAAAAAAAAAAAAAAAAAA